GGGGGATGCCCTGCGCGCCGCGGCCGGGCTTTCCCGGCGGAGCGGGGCGAGTCCGCGCTCGCTGGAAATAACCGTAAATGCTTCGTCCTGGAGGACTGGTCCGCAAGAGACGATCCAGGGGGTCGTGGGGCATATAGATCAGGTTCGTCCTGTCAGCAGGCGGCAAACAGACCCTCTGCATGGATCTCGTTCCGGCAGTTTTTGGTAGGCTTTCAGGTGCAGCCTGGTACCGAAATGCTGAATAAAATTCGTGAAGGTGACTTGCTCTGAGGGCAGCTGCACCTTGCACGTCATTGCGTGTGATCCACCTGTTCTTTCTGTAACGGATGCAAAAGCTTGGTTGTGCCCGAAAAATGTTTGGGTTTGGATTTTCAGGGGTTTGGTGTGGGTTTTTTTTCGCCTCTTTTTCTGAGTCTCGGTTGTTTTAGCGCCTATTTCTGCTGTGAACCCATCATTGTTTGGGTCAGGCTGGTGGGATGGGAGTTGGGTTGGGTGGTGTGAGATACCCGTGCACCTGCCTGCTGCCTTGGTTCACAGAAGCGAATCCCAGCTTGTTGTGGGTCAGAACTCTGGCAGAGTGTGTGATGCCCCCGAATTAGTTCGGGGATAAATGATAAGCTTTAAATCGTGCAGTGGTTTTACATGAGTGAGAATTAAAGAGTGGGGAAGAATCCTTATTTCGTATTTACTTTTATTTCAGCATTTTGAATGTTTTGCCACAGTTCTTACTGCTGGATGCTTACACCATCATCGTGCTGGTGTATTGTTGCTGATGTACATCAGCATTATCGATCGTGAGGGGAATTCACGAAACCAACACATTGACCATCCGGATTTCTTTTTAGAATTAGTGCCAGCTTTCATGGGCTTAGTGGTATTAGCATTACCCATGAAATTCAGTACAGGAAGAAATCAAGGTTCTTAAAAGTTTATTGAATGTCCTGTGTTGCTTCTCTGAAAGCTCTTAAGATCTTGTACTTTTCTCATTTGTTACCTTTTAACTTGAAATGGAAGTGTCATTGTGGGTGATATTTGCTTTACTGTCCCGTTGTTCTTAATTTTTCTATAAATAGTAGCTCAGTCTTAAAAGAACTGAACAAACCAGTTTTCGTACACTTGAAAACTAAAGTTGCATATTTCAGATATGGTTAAATCATCGTGATATGTGATACTATACATGCTACCCAAAATAGATACTTTTTTTTTTGGCATGGATTTTCTTGGTACATTGTTCCTGTTGACATATATTGAGTTTTTACTGAAGTTGGTAATAACAACCACTTTTATAAAGCAAAATACGATATTTTAAATTACAGTCCAAATATTGACATGAGGATTTCTACAAATTTAGTGTTATATGGATGTAAACTTAAAATCCAAACTGCTTAATGAGTTTCTCAGTACTGCTTACTCTTAGCTAAATTAATCAGTAGTTTGCATACTGTCAGGCTGGAGAGGAACAGGTTGGACAGGGCTCACCAGATCTGCTTTTTAAATCCTAACCCTTCAGACACAGGAATGTTGTTAACATTCTCACCTAGTGGCTTTTCCAGGCTTCTCACTGCAGTTAGTCTGTCACCCACAGCAGAGAGCCCTTCTGATTTAATCCATTCTACACCATTTTTCCACTGTCTGTATGAAGAACCTTCCTTTCAAATTTATACAAAGGAATTAGAACATGCATATATGCACGTGCATTTTCTTGATGCTAGCTCTGCAATTAAGTTTGCAAAGCACCTCTGTAGTTTTGGGAATTGTAGCACAGGGATATGTTGCATTGATACTGAGGCGTGATGGCTGGGAGTGAAAGAAACAATGCAAAAAGCACAAGATTTAAAAAAGCAGTAAATTAGATTTGTAGTTATGTTAAACTCATTAGGATTAATTTTATAGTCCTTCAGCATATAGAGTTTGCCCCATGGAATAGCTGCAGAATAAAACCTCTGAGGGCTGGAAATACCTATAGCTCCTGTTCAGAATATTCCATGATCTTTGTTTCTCTCTGTCAGGTTGATGAAAAGTTCCTTTATACAGGGATTTTGGCCTCTGTCTAATAACTGTGCAGGCCAAAACCAAACAGCTAAGAATTGCGTGCATGCACAAATCATAAAGTAAAATTAATATATTGCAATAAAACATCACATACTGTAATTAAATTACTTAATAAAGGTAGTCCATGTTTCTGTAATTTATTTCCAGCTATGCTCTGGACAAAACGCTTAATACATACCAAGCAAGTCAATAATTATTCTTAAGATTATCTCATTGTATTCAGACTCAGTGGCTCATATCTAAAACTCACAGTCCCCCTAATTAAGACCAACTCCACCCTGAACATGCTTATAGTCATATCTAGTTCTGCTCCTGAGTAGTCTTGTTGAAGCCATAATTACTGTTCCTGATTTTAAAGTTGAGTATTTGCAAGATCGAGATCTGTGCAGCTGGATACCTTTCTTTTTTATAATATATTTTCTTAAAACTCCTGGTCTGGTTCTTCATAGAGTAGCACAAAGTTGTGTCACTCAGCTGACATGGAAATTGGAGAAATACCAATGTGTTGTGTTTCTGCATCTCGCTGTGGAAGAGTACTGAAGGTGGGCTATAGCTGTGACAATAGTCAGGGTGGAGTAGCATAGCTGTGTTGCTTCCAGCACTGTGCTGGTCTTTGCTTGGACTAGGCAGTACTGTTACACATGTCTACACGGCACTGGATTGTTCAGTACCTCATATAACTTTTTAAGAAGTTTTGTTTAGTATGTTTATTCCCTCTTTTAGAAAAGAAGTCTGTCTTTCCAACTTAATACTATTCAGATTATTTGTCCTGATTTCTAAGGGAGTCAGGTCTATAGTACCAGGGGTACAAATAACTTCAGTGTGGTTGATTTCAGGCAGGTTTGACTGAGGTATCAAAAATAAATTGCTGCAGGTTTTATGAGACTGAGGAAACTATCTGTGGCTTGAATGTGGATAAAGCTGTGGCATAAACGCATGTGTTAATAGGCACCAGATGATCTATGTAGACCACTGCCTTATAAATGTATATAATACAGGGAGAAGAGCTTTAGTTTGTACAAGCAAGCACCTCAGGTCAGATCAGAAGGACATTGGGGCTGATTGGTCCCTGTGCTGAGCTGATTATTTGTTAGTGCCTTCTGCTTCTTTTGTTCTTGTTACCATGACTTGGCAAACATCATCTTCATCACAACAGAATCTTCTCTCTTCCATTTGAATAGAAATGACATTCTGTTTTTCAAAGAAGTAGTTTTACACAAATTATATGCCAGTGAGTTGAGTACATGACAAATAAAGCCCTAAATGAAAACAGTATTTCTGCAGATTTCACTGCATTTGGTGAGGTGCTTTCTTAAGTTTATTTTACTGTAGGTTGAAGAAATAAGTAGTCTTACCACCTTATATGAAAGAGAATATGAAGACGTATTCTTAAATGTTACTTTTGAATATACCACATAATACTGAGTCCAGGAAACAATTTCTTCTTGCATTCTTTCTTTGTCTTTGCTCCTACCAATAGGGGAAATGGATGTCTATTTTTTTTTCCACTGTTTCTTTCCTGTCTTCATTCTTTCTTGTTTGTCCATTATCAGAGACGCGATTGCATAAATGGGACATACGCTTTAGAACTTCTGTCTGGCAGAATAAGCAAGTCAGATTTTTTTGGCACTAATTATGACAGTTTAGGAAACTGTGGAAGTACACACTGCATGGGAAGATGAGCTAAATTGTAAACTGCCGCAGTCTTTTCGCTCTCACATTTGGAAGGTGGTGTAAAAAGCTTCCTTGTAAAATTTTGTTAAAATAAAGCATAAAAATATGGTTTCTTGTTTCCTTCCTCTGCAACAGCTGATCAGCTCAGTAATACTTAGGTCATGTAAATAGTAATGTCAGCAGTGTGATGGGTAAAATACTGACTTTTGAGCTTGTATTGTAACAGGCACAGTTTAGGAAAGAACACATTTTTAAACTTTCTTTTGCATAATACACATCTATTCTTTTGCTGGTCTGGGATCTTAAGCAATCTTTCCCTTCAGAAAATGTTTAGTTCCATAAGCATTGGAATTAAAGGAGCCTGGTTTCCTGCAGATTTTGGTTCTCTCTGTTGATTTATACTGATATACAAGGTGTGAACCTTTCCATTCATGGCAGGAGTTTACAGATTCTCTGCTTCATTTGATCACCTGTTTTCAAGAAATGGTTGCATTTTGCAGTCCTTAATTGCTTTGTTAGATCTAAGGAACAATGATCAACACATAGGTTTGGAAGAGGAGTTGAAGCAATGACACATAATCCCCAGGCAGGTGTGCACAGATAATGTGTATTCAGTGTGAATATGTATAACTCCAAAGCCCTGGAATTACATTTCAGTATCTTTTTTGTGGGTTACTCCTATATCCTATTGCATCCTTGGTTAGATATCTTCTAATGTTATAGTTTTCAACATGTGTCTTAATGTTAGTAAAAATTGTGAGAGGACTATGAAGCTTTTTTTTTCCTTGTCTTTGTAGGATAATACATTGGTGTACAGCTGAGACAATGGAGTCCATGCTGAATAAATTGAAGAGTACCGTTACAAAGGTAACGGCTGATGTCACCAGTGCAGTCATGGGAAATCCTGTTACCAGGGAATTTGATGTTGGCCGACATATTGCCAGTGGTGGTAATGGTCTTGCTTGGAAGATATTTAATGGAACTAAAAAGTCAACAAAACAGGTGGGTTGTCAAGTAAAGACCTAAGTTTACAAGCATTTGGTAGCAGTGGGTAAGTGGCATTTAAAAACAAAATCCAACTGACTGATGCTAAGGGTAGTACTTTAAGTAAAATGAACCAAAGAACTTAATGTAATATTCTCAGGTACATAGGTGATAATTGCTCTAAGCCTGTACTGCGGGAGAAAGGAGTGGTTCTGCATGCATAGCGTACAATTTGAGACCAAGATCAAGAATTAATCTTGAGTTAAAAGTGATCTGACAAAAAGGAAGAAGTTTGTTTTAACATGGGTCGGTTCCTCAATTTGTTTTATTTTGCACCTTTTTTTTTGGCAGCAGTACTGGACTTTTACAGTTTAAAATAATTGTGAAGTATGCCACCACTTGTTCTCAGCAAAAGAGACTGTAGATTTTGCTCAGCTGCCATAGAAAAATTGAGGGGTTAGAAGTGTTGAGTCATGAGATAGAGTAACAGGAAGGCATGTCATAGAGGAGGAGGTTGTGGAGGAAGTGAGTTGTGCCTTCCTTGTGCTCCTTGAAAATCAGTATTGTTCCCTTTTGGTTTCCTTAAAGTATTAGGTCTGAAAGTACTAGTATATAAACTTTTGACTCAATTGAAGTCACATGTGCAAATGAAAGTGGGATTGTGACCTTAGAAGAAGGTTTGACTGAAACAGTTTCAGAACTTGTTATTATAGGAAATTATTTTGTCATACTGGAGAAATATGAAAAGTCTTTTTTCAGACTTGGAGAGGAAATAGAATTCTCAGTGAGCAAATAGAAGTGTTAATAAGTTACGGCCTGCAGTTAAGCTTGATGCTGAAGTGATGTGGAGCCCCACAGACAATGAATCACCTTGCTACACGTCTATCAAGAAGAAATGGACACAAAGGAGTAACTTTGGAAAACATATATACAATATGTTAGATGGTAGGAAAATAAACTATAGCAAATAGAGAAGAAATACGCTCTGCCGAATAAATAGTCTGTGGAGAATATTTAATTATGACAGAATCTGGATAATGTTAGGCAGGTACTTCTGTATTCTCAAGCATCTGCCTAGCTGTTGCAGAACTACACATATAGTATTTACTGAATTTACCCAGTGTACCAACTGGGATTTTTTTTGGTTTTAGTCAACAATATGAAGGAAGGGTAACACTGAAAGTATGGTAGTTTTGGTAGGTTTTATACAATCTCTGTGCCCACTAAGCATTTAACCTGTAGCTGTTGTAGCTTTAAGGTCTGGAGAGTTGTAGCAAATTTCTTTTACTGCCTCATTGACAGAGTGTGTGTAACTTGCTTCCCGTCGATCATGTTTTTCAAGCTTTGGCTGGGTGTTCTGACCACTGCAGAGTTTTAGCTCAGGTGTTACCTATGTGATCCTGCAGTATCTTTGTAAACCCTGACTAACATCTCTATGTTTGTGTGAAATCAGTAGTCATTAAAAACACAGCAGCAGTTATACTGCAGGGAATTTTAGATGGCTGGTGATTTGGCATGCAATTACTGTTCATTATTAATATGACGAGTTAGGTAACATCACATCAACATTCAGTTTGCCATTGCAAAATAAAATTGTGCGGCAATGCAAACAGTTTGCATTGCAATATCTGTTCTTTAACATTATTTTTTATTTCTGTGGCGTGTACCCTTTGAATGTTGGCTGGGCACTATGGAGGTGCTGGCTGTCATTTTCCAAGTGTCAGAAGTCACTTTCGTGGAGCAATGCACCTATTTGCTTTATTGCAAGCGTGTCTCTGATTTGGAGCTACAAGCACTTAGTTTTTTTACAGTAAACGCACATTGTAATCAGCCAAGCAGGGTGTAAGAGCTTAATTGCCCACTTAACTGTTTCTTTACAACAACACAAGTAATTATTTAAGTCATTGTAGCCAGATAAAACAACAACTGCATTACAGCAGTAGAACTGATCAGAAATCTTTGTTCTCAGGACAAACTGAAATCAGCAGTCTTAGGGAAGTTGGTCAGCTGAAGTTAAGATTTCAAATATGGAAAAATTTGGTTCCTATTTGAAGTCACTGGACAGTTACAAATATTCCATCTCTGGTGACAGTAGATATGTATGATTTTATTCCTCTTTTCAGAGTTCCGCCTGGTTCCTGCCTTCTGGTTTTCTTGGATTTTTGAATGTTTACATTTGGTTGGTTGGTTTGGGGTTTTTTTTTAATGTGTCTTGTCTTCCTTACTTTGTAGGTGACTGAATAGCAGCCTAACAGAATGTGAGGAAATTACTTACTTGTGTGCATATGTTTGTCTGGTTCTATTTGATAACTGATTTGCTGCTGTTTGTTTGAAAGCTTTATGAGTCTTTCTGGTTATACATGTATACATGAAGTAACATGTTGCTAATTTTACAGTATGCGTTTCTGCTCATCTTGGGTTGTTTTAACTTAGACTTTATGCACTTTGTTCTGGCATAATAGGGCACTTGCCTCTTTTTCTGCTTAGAAAGTGAGATCCTAAAGACATAGATAGGGTAAGGTCACCTAAAGTTCTTGTTGGCAGCTCAGTCATAAAAACTAGCAGAATTAAGGAGGTTCCATTTCAAGACTGTTGTACCTGTATTTAACTTTTACTGTTTTGGTACTAAATATATTAATGGTAGGTAAGTCAGCTTTTTGTTGTTTTGGCTGTGTATATGGTAGCTTTGAAATGAAAGCTTCCTACTATTAAAATTTTCAAGGCTAATTCATTTGAAAAGTGAAACAGTTGTATACCTTATAACTGAAACTGATGGGAAAGTAGAGTTATACAAAACATTGGCAAGCTTCTCAGTATAAACCCCCCCAAAAGCTGGAGGAAAATCTTTTCCTGGCAACAGACCAGAGTAATACTGGATTGCTTTCCCGTATTTTAGTTGAGAGACTGTTTTCCTTGGCATAGTGGGAGGCTTTGGTAAAACGTCATGTGTTTGCATATTGAGTTACATTTGATTAGTCATTAAAAACATGCGTAAGTGCATATGGGTAAAATAGAGACCAGAAATGAAAGGGAAAACAAGCAAAGTTTCTAAAATAAGATCTTTGACTTCTACCTTGAAATTTCCTTTGCTTTTATGTTCATGACTTAATCCTTAACATGATCACATTTAATTTTTTTCCCTGAGAGCACTACATCATTCAGTTCACAGGATAGATGGTGAACTGTAGTTATTTAATGTTTTGTGTGTTATTTTTTTTCTTTCTTCTTGTTCTGTGCGTAGTTTCTGATACTATTACTTGACACCATTCAAAATGTCATTGAAACCAGAAGGATTTGAGTTTCTGCAGCATTCCTCACTATAGCACTTCAATGTTTTACAGGTTTTGTTAACATGCTTTCTCAGTATGCAATGAGATAAATAGAAGAGGTATTGCTATTCCATTATCAAGGAATAGAATTTAGAAAGTATTTAGAAATACTTTCTAGTTCTGTTTGCATCTTTTTCAACATACAGACCTAGGGTGTTTCTGAATTCTTGCCTTCCTCTTGGGGGCAGGAGAAAAAGCGTGACATGCCTGGGTTGCCTTTTTCTGGTCAGGGAGAATTACTTATCTCTCACTCTTTTTTTTGTTTGTTTGTTGTTATATTTGTTTTGTTTTGCTACAGCAGTTGTATTGGCTAAGATATGAGCAGGACTTTTTCATTCTCTGTGGTTTATAGGGTGTTTATGTGGGTAAATATAGACATGCATTTCAAACTGTCAGCATCTGTTTCAAGCTGGTGTGTGTTTCATAGGGAATGCAGGATTGCAAATGGACTTGGAGGATGTGGTGGATTGTTCCTAACCAGCAATCAAAATACCCACACAGCTATTCAATCACTTCCCCATCCCCAGCAGCATGGGGGCAGAAAATAGGAAGAAGAAAAGCAAGAAAACTCTTAGGTCAGGATCTGGATAGTTGAATAGGTGAAGGAAATGGGGGGAAAAACAAGCAAAGCAAAGAAACTTGTTCACCGCATCCCACAGGCAGGCCGATCCTCAGGCTAGTCTACAAACAACAGCCACCTTGGAAGCCAAAAACACCCTTCTTCTTCTACCCTAGTTTTTATCACCAAGCATGATGTTATATGATATGGAATAGCCCTTTGGCCAGTCAGGATTGGCTGTCCCGGCTGTGTCCCATCCCAATCTCCTGCCTACCCACAGCCTACTCACTGTGGGGGCAGACTGGGAAAAAGAAAAAGCCTTGACCCTGTGCAAGGGTTGTTGAGCAACAGCCAAAAGGCTGGTGTGTTACCAACAGTTTTAGCCACAAATCTAAAACACAGTACCATATGGGATGCTATGAAGAAAGTTAACTCCATCTCAGACAGACCCAGTACAAAGGAAAGCTGCCCAAAGAAGCTGGAAAAAGGAAATTGGTGCATTTAGTGATTAAAAGTACATGGACAAAAAACCTTCATGAAGGGATATATTAGTGAATGCCAGGTCTTTGGGACAATGGTCAACAGGAGGCTTTGAGCAACCTGCCCTAGTGGAAGGTGTCCCTGCCCATGGCAGGGGGGTTGGAACTAGATGGTCTTTAAGGTCCCTTCCAACCCAAACCATTCTAGGATTCTATGATAGGATTCCTCTGAAATACACAAGCACAATCAAAAAGACCTTGTTTACACTTTTCAGTGTCTAAAAGTGTTCCAGATGAGTTAATGTGATTCTAGCCCAGTTAAACCATGTCCTGTGTCTTGCATGTTGAGGACAATGCTTACTCCTCTTTGCACAGGTGACATTTAATTCCTTAGCAAAGGCATTGTAGAACTTAAACAGTGATCTTTTGAGTGATTCATGTTAAAAACACAGTAACAACAGACATTTTCTTGAAGGTCTTCATCCTGGCAGGAGGAAGATACTCTTCCTTTAAACCTGTGAAATGAAAAAAAATAAAGTGGAAGCTCCCCATGAGCTTTCTGTGGAAAGCAGTAGTAACTATGTAAGCCTTTGCAGGCGCTTATCTCAGTAAAAATACAGGAAATAGAATCCCTACCAGCTATAGTAAGTAGCCCTCCTTTTTGGGGTTGAGTATCAGTTCTTGTAAAACACAAAAGGAAAAACAGATATAGTCAGAAATTGACAGGGAACCCTGCATAAAGCAGTGAGTACTTTAAAACGTTTCCAAGAGCACTACATGGTTTCAGTAATTTTTGTGCATCGAGAGTGTGTTCTGTGGCCCATGACTCAGCTGTCTCTTCATTCTTCTGTACAATAATACCTGGTGACTTACGGGGGTTAAAATACTATATGGTGATAGGGCATTCTGCATGTAAAAACCAGTGTTGATTATGGAATTGAATTTCAGAATGCCATATTTTGAATTGTTAGTATCGGAACACATTTAAATTTTAGTATCCATGAGCAGAGGTGGCTGTACGCTTTCTTCTTGCATCAGACGTGTTACATGAAAATGAAAGTATTGAAAGCAATTGTGACACAGCTCAAATTACTTTGATTCTTGACACTCCGCAATAACTAAATCTGTAAAATCAATATGATAGCAATCATTTTCATACCTAGAATACTACAATTTCATATACATACTTAAATATGAGCTAATTTTCGGATATGTAAAAGTTCTGTCAAACTTCAAACAAACCATGCTGTATTGCAGCAAGCACCAACAGAACTTACAGCCATCATCAAATATTCAAACCATTGCTGATGTCCCATAGTGTCTGATTTAAATATTCACTTCCTGATTCTTTTGTCTTGTCATTAAACAGAAGTGCTTTCAGAACTGCTGTATTACTTTGAAATTTTGTTACTGGCCACATGTTGCTCAACATATTCACACTTTGGAAAATGTGTATTTTTTAAATAGTGTGTATCTTCCATTTCCTGTCATTAGTTCTTCCCTGCCTTGTGTCAATGTAAATGTTTGACCCATCACACATCCAAGAGTTGGAGCAGGGAGCTGGTATGGATAGAAGCAGGAAGTGTACTTGTAACTAACTCAACTAGAAGTCTTTTTTAAAAATCAATAACCTAATTGTTCCTATGAGATTTTAATTAGATTAATGGTTGTAAAGTGTGCAGTACAAGAGCATAGACTTACTCTTGGGACTGAAAACTGTGTTTTCATATGATTTTCTACTGCTTTCTAACCTTTATTGTTATTCATAACGCTGTTGCAGAAGTGTAAGTAAGTCTGTGTTCCATGATAAAGTTTTTAATTCCTTTTTTTTTTTTCCCCCCAGTTGATTATTTCTCTTTAATGGCATCCAGGGTGCTGTTGTAATCTTATTTTTTATTTCATGTCCACCTCTGTAATTTCAAAGTTACATATAAATTTCTTAATTTTGTCCCACTCCTTTTGCAGAGGTTGGTTGGAAGAAACTTGTTCTCTGTTTTTGACATTTACCACATTTCTGGCACTTCTTTTTACACATGTTTAAGCATTACAAAATTCTTAATGTTTTATCATGTGAATGGTCTGATCAAATTAATTGATTACTGTGACTATAAATTATGTTTTATGAATGTCTAGTTTAATAGAGATCATACTGGTTTGGAGCAGAATGCTGAGATGGGGTCTGGTTTAATAAAATACCACTTTATATATTTCACGCCAAGTGAATGCATATATGTTCAGACTATTTCAGTTGTTCATAGTCGATACAAATGTTTTCATCCGCGTAAAATCAAGCTGATTTCTGTCCTGTGGATCTGCTGATTTGTGACTGTGCACAGTGGTTTACCTATTACTTTTTGTAAGATAAGGAGCGGTAGTACCTTAACTCTTAAAATATATAATATTCCAGAGTTTGTGCACAGTAACCTATGTGCTGATGATTGGAACAAAGTAAGGACAATATGTACATATATATAGATATCTTGAAATACTTACTGCATTGGTGGGATTCAAAAAATGTGTGTGTGTGTATATATAATGGTGTATAAGCTTGTTTTTTGGCTATGTTATATACCGAGTGAATTTTGTTGCTCATTTCTAGGAAGTGGCTGTTTTTGTCTTTGATAAGAAGCTAATAGACAAGTATCAAAAATTTGAAAAGGATCAGATTATTGATTCTTTAAAACGAGGTGTTCAGCAGCTAACCAGGCTTAGACACCCTCGTCTACTTACTGTTCAGCATCCGTTGGAAGAATCCAGGTAAGCCTAATGAAGTTGAACAGACTTTCTTAATCATTGTTGTTACTGGATGTAAAATATCTGGAACATTCAACAGATAAATCTGATGAGGTTCACGTTTACTGCATTTACTCACGTGAGACTGGTATTCACCCCACCTTCATCCATACGATGCATTTCTGGTGTGAATCTAGTGAATCTAATTAGTACTCTTTTGCATGATCTTAGTCCGGTTGCAGCTGTAAGGCTACACATGACCCTTACAGCATGAAAATTTGGTAGTTCAATTAATTTCACTTTTAAAGAACTCTCTAAAAAATTGCTTTCTTTCAAAAGGTTGTTCATGCATATGTTTTCTTTGAGATGTACCATGTGCATGTGAGATTGGAGATTTTTGGTAAATTGTATGTGTTGTGCTCACTTACGTGTGTAAAAGGTCCTCAAATGCCTATTGTATTTGATTTGTGTAAGGCTGGTCACTAGGCACAGTAGTGGGTTAGACTTACAGATTTATTGTTCAGCTGTAGTGATAAGAGCACACTAAAACCTAACAACAACAACAACAAAAAAAAGCAGCTTCATGTTTAAATAGAAAGCTGATCCTGTTCCTATTGAGGAAGATCATGAAGGTTTCAGGGTTTTTTCCAAAGTAGTTTTTCTAAATGGTAGCCTAATAAATATTCATGTACACTACCTTTCGAACTTGTACATTTTCAATTGTTTCTGTTAACTTGCATTTTTCCAGAAGTGCTCCCTTCTAGGAGCTGAGTATACTGTAGGAATGCTGCTTCATCTTTGTGATGCCTACCTGGGGAAATATTTCTGGGATTAAATGACACTTGCATATTCATATGTATCTTTCTTCCAGTACCAAACACGTTTTGTATTAAGAAGGGTTCAAAGCTGTCATTGCCCCTGTGGTTCAGTATGCCCCTCACGAAAGCCTAAGGAAGATTAATTAGGTAATTGAAGACAGCTCTCAGTACTCTACAACAGTAAATAAACTATTACATGCTAAATAGCAAAGAGTCATCTCAGTCATTACTGTATACAAGTGAATCCCAGTGTATTCTGGGGAAGAGGCTCAGGCTTTTTCCTAAAATCATCACAGTATTTCAGTTGACTCAGCGACTGCGTCTGTAGTTATTTTTTCCCTGAACTCTGCACTTCAGAAGAAAGGCTGAGATTCATACCTTGGAGTGTTAAGAAATCTCTGGTGTTGTCCTTGTGAAGAATTTAAGCCTTTTGAGTAAAATTAACAGTGTAGTTATGTCAGAGTTCTCGTTCATGACTTTAGTAGTGCCCTGTGCTTTGCTGCAGTTGTTCGCCTATCCGTGCTCAGCATGTTCAACTACCCATAGAAACACCACTTGCACAAAACCTGTCCAGTTGCTTGCTGTACCAAAAACTGATGTGACGGTTTTTGGAGGAGCTTCATGAAAGACGAGTTTGCTTGGAATATTTGTGTGTGTAACCTTGTGCAAGTGTGCTGCAAGATTTCTTCAGAACTGCAGGTCTTTCCAGTGTGCGTATTGTTGAAGAAATGTGTCACGGCCTCCTTCTGACGAGGCTGTACCTGGTCTTTTTTGTGCCTCCAAAGTAATATACGGTTTTGTTGAACTGCTTGCAAGTCACTCTTTTATTGCTCCTTTGTGGGGCAAGGGGGTACTTGCTGTACCTGCACAGCTGAAGTAGGTACAGAAAGAAAAGCCATACTTTTCTGACCTTAGTGTGTAGGTAGCTTTTCCACTATTAATAGGATGTTTCTGCTTCATATTATTGGTATTATATCTTTAAAATAAATGTCTTTTAAATATTAGGATGTATACATTTTTACATGCATTTATATAATGAATACCTCCTTATTTCTACTAAATACTTAACACAAATTTACTTGCAACTGGTCATGTATTCCAGTAACAGCACAGATGAGCAGTATTCTTCTATATTTAACTTGTTATTGGAGAAAAGAGCATAAAAGCCAAATTATGAGTTCTCTCATAATGTCATTACTAGTGATTAAAAATAGTAGTGAAGAGTTACAGATACTTGGTTTACTAGGCATTCCATCTGTTGCAGTTTTTCCCAAAGCATATGCGTTTTTGGGCATAACTGTTATTTTTAACTTGTTTTCTTTCTATTATGTTGCTCTGAATTTCATTTTGATATTACTCAGGGAACTGTTAAAGAACCCACACTGCATGGCAGACATCAGCTTCTGCAGTATTCAGTTGCTTTAATTAGATTTGCCCCATCCTTCCGTTACTCTGGTTTGGGTCCTTATTTAATTAGCTTCTAAAGTGAAAAATAAACAGCTATCTTTTTATTCCTTCAAAACAACAGCAATCAGAGTTTGTTATGAAAACCACTGAATCACTGTTCCCTTGGTGTTTTCTATCATCTGTGCCTTAACCATAATGAAACATATAAGCTGTATTGTGAAGCTGAAGTCAGACTGAAAGTCAGATTTGTCTTTCTGTGATCTGATTCTTCCTTGTGATTACTCCAGAAACTAGTTCTATAGCCCTAGTTTTGTGAAGAGAAACATGAACGGGATGGTGTTAACAGAATGGTAGGGAGGAAACCAAGAAGTTCTGTCACTTAGGATTCAATGGTGTTTTCACTTCTTTTTCCCTCAGGAAGTCAGTAGATAAAACTAAAATCTGGATGAGTAATAAGAGGTTTGCATGTTTCATCAGCCTTATTTTACTTCAAAGAGCAAGCTTGTTAATTATTGAGGTACATAAAAACTATGTGGTAGTTTCATGCGGAGGCATTGTGTCTTCTGTGATGTTTTTATGGAATGAACAAAAAGTTGGGCTTCTGTCTTCTTGCCTATAACTATATATTAAAAAATATATCTTTATTACTGCTACTCAGTCTGAGTTTTCTGTGTTCCTACTGATGCAGTATTCGGTGTTCTCATGAATTACTCATCCTTAAACCAGGTCTGTATCCTACCATCCATGTAATGCTTCCTCCAAAGAAATTTTAAAACTATTCAGAAGAAATGAGTTGCCATGACTGTCCAGGGCCTCCAGCACTGTGCAGACCAATATGAAGAATGTGGATATAAAGAATGACTCTGTCTGTTACATGAAGTTTGGGAAATGGAGACATACCTTGTTTTTAGGACTTGGAAATTTTAAATTTTGAAGCACAATATTACAACCAGTCCACTTTATGTGCAGAAGTGTACTTCATCTGTGCTTTTTCAAACACTTGATGCAAAAATGCATAAACAAGACCTGTAGTTTTTCATGAAGAAAGCAATAGATAAAATAATGTAGAAAGCCTCCCTTCTCATACAGACTGCAGTTCATACAACAAGCATATTTGTGTTTTGCGTTGTTTTGTTAAAACTTCTTATGAAGCATTGTATGCATCATTAGTGATGTTTGTGAATGTAAGAGAATAAAATAACTTCATTCTAGTATATTTTGAATACTTCAGATATTTGTATATTTCTTTTTAGTATAGTATTGCTTACAAGAATTCAAAACCTGAAATATAACATGGTTTTAAGTAGCACCAAGTGCTCTGGTAATGTGTAATGTGATGTTTTTATGGTTCTTTATTCACAGTTAAGAGATTTATTACATTTATTTACCACAAATGTTTTAATGTGTTTCCTATACAGGGATTGCTTGGCATTTTGTACAGAACCAGTCTGTGCAAGTTTAGCTAATGCTCTTGGCAACTGGGAAAACCTACCTTCTCCTTTACCATCTGACATTAAAGAATACAAACTTTATGATGTCGAGACCAAATACGGTTTGCTTCAGGTATGACACAGGTTGTCCTTACAACAGTAGCTCCCAGGTTTTATTTGGTGAATAAGTTGTTCAACTTTGAAAAACATTTTTCTTCTTATGCTGTGATAGTTAATCAACATTAGTAATCTCATCTGCTGATTACCCATGTATTTTTAATTTTCTTCGTACATAGTCTTTAAGACATAGTCTAAAACAGTTGTGACAAATTGTTTCTTAGTTGACTTACCAATGTAAGCGTGACCACAGGAACAGAATTTTTGTAAATGTCTTAAGGGATATTTAACCTGATGCAATAATTTTTTATTAACAGGTTTCTGAAGGCTTGTCATTTCTACATAGCAGTGTGAAAATGGTCCATGGAAATATTACTCCTGAAAACATAATTTTGAATAAGAGTGGAGCCTGGAAAATTATGGGCTTTGATTTTTGTATCCAGTCAACAAATCCATCTGAACAGGAGGTAACAATGAATCTTTGTCATCATTAAATTTGAAACTCAGATCTTTGAAACCAGTTTCATGGCCTTGCATTTCAATACAGATTCATTTAATGTTCACCTCTGTATTTTGTTGGCAGGAAGTTTGAACGTATGGCACAGGTCTGGATTGAAGTGCCTTTGGTCATCACAGAAAGAACCTGAATTGTCTCAGTTGAGTCAAAATAGATTAGCGATAGTTTCAGACAGAGGCTGAAGCCTGTACCGCTGCTGCTCATTGTCATGTTGAATGACATGCAGAGCTACCCTATTTAATCTGTTGCATTCACTCAGTGCCTGGTTGCTACCCCCTAAAATGAAATTCCCATCATAGCTCATGTTTCCCTCTTACAGCAATGCTTCAATTTTACATTACACTTCCCAATTGTAATATACAGACTTAACTGCATCCGCTAATCCACTCTGTGCTACAGAGACAGATTCTTAACAGTTTTGCCTTACTCTGTTTCTTTCATTCATAATTGAATTTGAGTGAAGTAATTGGGTTTTGCAGCTTGAATTTCTTATATTAAAAGTTCTTTGAAGATCCCTAATAAATGTACTTGCTTTTACTTCTCTTGTAGCCGAAGTTCCCTTGTAAGGAATGGGATCCAAACCTGCCATCCTTGTGTCTTCCAAATCCTGAATATCTGGCACCGGAATATATTCTGTCTGTGAGCTGTGAGACAGCCAGTGATATGTACTCTCTAGGAGCTGTTATGTATGCAGTGTTTAATAAAGGGAAACCAATTTTTGAGGTCAACAAGCAGGATATTTATAAAAGCTTTAGCAGGCAGCTGGATCAGGTATTTGTGACTATTATTAATTGATTTTTGTATGAAAAATGACTGTTTTAAAATAGATTTAAATATTTAGAACACAACACCCATGCTCCAACATGAACAATCTGATAACAGTATCTTACCTTGCATGCCATCTTTATAACAAGAAAAGAGAATTCAAGCAAAACATGGCAAATAAAAATATGTGCAGAGGTTAGACATACCAACTTTATAATCTACAAATTTCGGTTTTTACCTGATTTCTCTATATACCTGTTGAATGCTGGTCGTGTGGAACAAGTACTTTACCTTTTGGGGTGAACAGTGTGAAACACAAGGTAGAGGATGACCCACAGCTGTCTTCAGAGTGATTTGATCACTTGACATTGCAGTTGGCATCCACGTAGCGATCAGCTATTTCACACTCCTTGTGGACTATGAATATTAACAGAATACGGATGCTTGGATCAGCTGACTGACCCATATGTACATTCACATGCAAGTTTCCTTTGTCGTAAATTCTTTCGGTGCCCATTGCCTTGGTTGTGTGTACCGCATTTTAATGTCTGTAGGCAACACCTCAGATAATAACATATACCTGTTTAAAAATACTGGGTTTGTGTTTTCTGATAACCTGAACACAACGAGAAGTTGGAAACAGAAATGTGACCTGGAGCAGGTAGGCTGTTGCGAGACAGAAAGAAGACTATGAGGGGTCAGAAGAAAATAGGTTATAAAAGGAGAGAAGGGAGGAATATCAAAGGCATGGGTAGAGGAACTATGAAGGGAACAAAGTATAGTCCTGTTGTGTATTGGAAATAGTTCTATGCAGGTTTTTCTGACCTCATGGTGAATATGCTTACATTATTTTCACAGCTGAGCCGTTTAAGCTCCAATACTCTTCAGAATATACCAGAAGAGGTGCGCGAACATGTAAAGCTGCTCCTAAATGTAGCTCCAGCAGTCAGACCAGACGCAGATCAAATGACTAAGGTCAGTTCACAGAAAATACAGTAGCCATAGGGAAGAGGGGAAAACCGTGATTGATTTGTAGAAACAATATTCTAAAGTGTTTTCCTGTTAGTAATTTTAGTTGGAATGTTAAATATTTTTAAACAAATTTAGAAGTAATTATGTTAGTTGATGCCAAAAGTTGTCCGTATGCTGACCTTTATTAATAAGGAGTGATTGCTGAGACAGAATTTAGAATAAACATTCAATGAAACACCATTTCGTTGCTTTCCGATACAGTTGGAAGCATTTTCTATGCTATGTTTTATACGCTTTAGTGCTTAGTAGTGTATTAGAAGGATGTTAAAGCCATAAAATGATAAAGGGCAATAAATGTAAGAATTAACTTCTGGCTTATGATTTTTGGTCTATTCTTAAATATGCAGAAGAATAGCTTAAAATATATTCAGAGCTTACATGTCAGAATGAAGAAAAAAATAATTGCAAGCAGGATAATTTTAAGTTTTAGTTCTACCAACTCCTCCATCACTTTTTCTGTCTGAAAGTAGAACTTAAAAGCATGATGTTTCCTCTCTCATACCCTATTTTTTCAGATCTGATAGCCTTTCAAGTTCCTGTTTATAGATTTGCTTAGCTAAACAATTTTCTTCTTTTCCTGTTATATAAAGTATTGTGCGCAGAGAGAGAAATCAGTGTTTCAACAGTTGGAAGAAATAGTGGGTGAAGAAGGGAGGGAGAACAGGTAATGGTTCTGCTAACATATGGGCTGAAAGATGGGTAGCGAGGAAATTGCCAAAAATTACTCAGGTTTCAACTGGCTTGTCTGAAGGACCACAACAAACGAATTTGTAAATGGTTGTATTAAGCAGTGTGGTTTTAGGAAGAGGTTAAGTCTCTTTTACCGTGTCTGCACTGCAGACTGAACTGCAGGGTAGAGGTATTGGAGCTTTAGTTTAAAAGCAGTTTGTTATGGCCAGCTTGACATGGGCAAGTTTACCTTGTTAGTTTTAACTAGTTTATGTTAACCCGTGTAGAATTCCATGGTCATATCCCTTCTGGTGTGTTATCTGGAAGACAGAGTTTAAGTCCACAGTACAGATTAGCTTTAATTCTTTGCTGATAGATTCTGTTCTTCTTTATTGCCCTACTCATCAGCTTTCTTCTGCATTACAACAGAGCTTCAATAAATGCTTTCATGGCCTTTCTTCTTGCACATATTTTTCAACTGAAAACAAGTTTCTAGTCTGAGAGACCATGCTTTGTCTTTAACTGTTGCAAGCCTGTGAGGTTTGCTATATCCATCCCTAAAACAGAGCTAGCAGCAAGGAGGAATCTTACCCATGCAAGTTTTTGCATGCAGAAATTTTCATTCCAATCCATGTAGGTCTGGGATAGATACTCTTCTACTTTTTTCGTTCATCTGCTAACTGAAAACTGAATATTTGGGAATGGATTTTTATATAGGCAATCTTGCTATCATCATGTATTTTTATCAATCTTTCATTAGTGATGAATCAGCTCTATCAGTATTAATACTATATACCACAACTATAGATTAACCTCCCCATTTTTTTGGTGCCATCTTTATAAGCTTGTTAGAGTACCTAAGAAGGCCTGTGCCCTCTGCTGGAGTAATGCAAACATAGGAAGTCATGTGAGAAATTATAGTGGGCTGGATTCACAAGAGCATATGAACATTGGAGAGAAATTTATGTATTTACACATTTATTTCATATAAATGCTTGTTGATTCATTCAAGGGTGGTAGCCAGATCTGGATGGCCTAATAGGTAATCCTTTGTTGTAATATTAAATAGCATAATTATTCCTAGAAGAACTTTTAATCAAGGATTTTACTTTTCATTCCATTTGTGTAGACCAAACATTGTTCCGTATACAGTAAGTTAACTTAGACACACATAACATGCACGGGTTTCTTTAAAATGCTAGGAAAAATCTGTCTTAATCAAGCTTTATCTGTGAATGTTATAGTATTTAGTATGTGAGAATGAACTTTGTTCGTCGCAGGCACATCTTTGTAAAGGTTTACTGTAGAGCAATGAGAAGGCAAATAAATGATTATATTATGGAATCTTTGTAACAGTGTCATTGTTGTCTCCATCCAGATCACAAGCTTTGATTCTTATTTTCAGATACCATTCTTCGATGATGTAGGAGCAATGACGCTTCAGTATTTTGATTCATTATTTCAAAGGGATAACCTTCAGAAATCACAGTTTTTTAAAGGTCTACCAAAGGTTCTGCCAAAGCTACCTAAGGTATGTCTGTGTGACGTCTTGAAATAGTTTAAAAATATGTGAACATCTGTTAACATTCTGAATCTGGGAATGCTGGGCTTTTTCATAGCACTGTACCATAATAGACTGCCTTGAGACTGTCAGAATAGAGTAGTAGGAAAGAGGGGAGATTAGAAAATAATCGATGAGGAAATACTCCTCAGCTATCAGTAATTATTTACATGGAAAATGGTAAATTGTGCTATGAATGTGTGTAAGGAACCATCATTTGCATGTCTTCTTGTAGTTCATCCCACTTTGGACGGGAGTTGTCTCCTCTCCACTTCCAAGGCTTTCCCTTTGTTTTCAGACGCTATCATAGCTCTTTGAAGTCATCATGCCACCTTTTCTTCCAGTAAGATTGCTTCAAGTTTTTTCATAGCAAGGCACTACTTTAATGTTGAATGGTGCAGATCTTCCTTCCCTCAGCGGACTAAGTGCTTTCTTGTGCTAGCAGTGCTCGGAAACCTCAAAGGCAAATGCCTGTCATTAGAGTCCTCCTGTGTAGTGTTAGACACTCTGTCTAGACTGACTCCTTTTCCTCTTGTGGTATTCTTTAATTTACGTAAGGCATAATACATCTGTGACAGAAAAATGGTATTAGTTTAACCCATACTAGAATAGCTGAGCTTCTTAACCGTTGTATTAAATCTCTTTATTTGTAATTCTGTTTTGAATTACACACTGCAAAATTCAGACTTCATGTTTAATAATCTTTCCTTAATTTAGTAATTTTTGCCTTTGATAGAACTCATTGATGCTTTGAATTTGGAAATAGATGGGAATTTGGAAATAGATGAGATGTATTTCCTGTAACTTTAGACAGCCACTGACTGACCGAATCATCTTTAAGGCATTCTTTTTTTTTTTTTTTCCTCTGCTGAAAGTATATTTTATGAGGAAAGAGACTGTGCCTTTGAACTGTGAACTTTGTTGACTCTAAAAGCATTTAAGAATGTCTAACTCTACTGTAGATATCCATCCCAATTTGGGGAATGTACCTCAAGTTTTACAGGGAGATATGGTAGGATTATGTGTTTCTTCAGTGAGTAATGGGGTACTGAAAAGCTGATTATTTTGAGGGGGTGATAGGGTCTTTTCTAAGGGTCTGTTTTAAGAAATCATATAGAATAATTCATATATGTGACTCAAAGCCCTATAATTGTTTTTTGTTGAGCTTCACGGTTGTCTGAGTCTCCAGTTAACATTTTGAGAGCAAACAGGGTGTAATTTGGTTAGAGTATACTGTGGGAATAAGAGTTCAAAATTGAAAATTGTCTGCCAGCTTTTTTGTAAATATCAGGTAAATACAATAGTTGTTGAGCTGGCACAGTGGTATCTCTTACTGCAGTGTGGTGCAATGTGATGTGTGCTTGTTTTTTTCTTTTAGCGTGTCATAATTCAGCGAATTTTGCCTTGCTTGACTTCTGAATTTGTGAACCCTGATATGGTACCTTTTGTTTTGCCTAACGTTCTCCTAATTGCTGAGGAGTGCACCAAAGAAGAATATATCAGGCTCATTCTGCCTGATCTTGGTCCTGTTTTTAAGCAGCAAGAACCAATCCAGGTATGTGAATATTGTTCAGATTACACTTTTTGGTGGTTTTTAACCTGAGAAATGACTAATTGTTCTGTTGCCCTTTTCCAGCTTCACACATATTGCCCAATCTGCTCTCTAGTTGTCCAAACACTCAGTCTTGATCCATACGAAATAAATGTTTTCCAGGAAATTCACAAAGCCTCTACCCCTGCTTTTTGAGATGGGTTTTCTCTGAGTGCATATTTGCATTTATAAATTATATTAGATTAGCCAAAAAAGAAAGGAAACATTTGATTTACCTCTCAATTCTTATTTTTGGTAGGTTGTAGAAGGTATATTTGTAAGTATTGTATCACATATCTAGCTGATCTGAGCAGGGTTGTACACTGCCATATTTGCATATAATCTACCAGTAACTGAACCTATGACTTTATTTTTCCTTATATCCATGGAAAAGTTGTAACTTTGACACTCTCTTACGCTGTTTATTGGTGTTAATAAAATAGTTTTTATTTGAGAGCTGTGCACAAATTTGTGTATTTTGTTTCATTTTATTTGACAAATGTATTGTGTAAGTAAAATATGCTCTTTTCTGTTGTTTGCATGCATGAGTAGTGAGTCATTAGCATTACTGTAAAGGAACAAAGCTCTTGCATCTTTTTGTCAACACCATGTGCATGATGATTCCTGAGAATTCTGTCACTGTTAGGCATGTGGCTCCCCAGATAAAATGCAGCTGCACATTCCTTCTAGCTCACCTTTTACTGCTGGATGCTGTTACTTCTCTGCAGAGCACTTGAGGGGCAGGGTAAACATAGGAATGAACAAGTAGAACTTTAATTTCTGGGTTGCAGAAAACCAGATCGGAGAACTCTCATTATAGCGGGGAGGGGGGAAAGGGGATAACTGTGTAACTGAGAATACCTCGGAAAATTAGATCTACTTAATGTTCGTTACTTTGGGTGCACTGGGGATTTATTTTAGCTTTGTTGTTGTCTTGAAAAAATTAAATGTCTAACAGACCAAGAGCCAGTGAACATCTTAAGTGTGCTGTTTCATCCTAAAAGGTAACATTGTGTTTTGCTACCTTTAACATCAGATCTGTGAGACGGTCTTCATGGCAAAAAATTCGTATCAGTTATATTTGGAGCATAGTGAGCACAAAAGCTGTATCATTTCTTGAGAAATGAGGGAAGCAAAATAAAGACTTGGGGTCAGCTCATAAAGAGCGAGCTTTGTAAAGTTTTTCTGTACCTTTCCAGATACTGCATATTAAATTCTTATGTTGACATTTTTAATGCACACTAAGTACTAGATGGCTTATTCTGCTATTATCTCTATGGTTATTATTCTATCTCTATGGTCTTTTTAGTATGGCAAGGTTTGTTTGAGTCATCTGCTATATTAACTTTGAAAACCTGACCTAGGAATTAAGGGAAAAAAAAAAATAGAAAGTCTCAGAGTGCCAGAGGACAGAATTCCAGGTCTGACTGTCTTTGTGCAAGACAAAACCATCCAGGTCCTGTGTGTTTGTAACTCATGGAGAGGGGCACACACCAGAGGGGTCAGTGTTTCTTCCAAGCGCTCTCAAGATCCTCCTGTAGGTTTGTATGAGGCCTGTTGCTTGGCTTTTGCAGGGCACTTGAGTTAGGAAGTGAATGAATCATAGGGAGGCTTCTGTAATTCTGTATGAAGAAATTGTTATCCAGTGTTCACTATATCTTTGTATGAGGGAATGTATACTAGGAAAATGGAATATTTAGTTAAACTTCTTATGGTACTCTTAGAGGTTGGCATGGAGTAGTAACTGGTGTGCTGTAAATTACCATTGTAGCTTACTCTGACATGACTTCCCAGTGTAGACAAACCCTTGATTTTATATCTAGGGGAATCTGTAGAGAGCTAGCATATGATGTACTGTAAATTCATATTCTGATTCAGTACACCAAAGTGTACCCTGACAAGCACTGGGCTCTACTGATGTGTGAGGCACATCTTTAGCATTGCTTTTTGTAGAGTGGAACTGTTGCCACTTACTGACTGCATAGTGTGTTTGAATCTGTGACTGTGACATCTTCGTTTCTACTTAAATAGATACAAAGTATCAAATATGATCTTAGAAAGGTAAAAATAAAGGCAGTTCATTGGAAAAGCATGAACTACATTCCAGTTAAAGAAAAGGTAGAGAGAGATACCGAAACCAGTGCGGCTTTATGTTATCTTAGTTGAAAAGCATTGATAGCCAGTGGAAAACAGTTGTGAAATCTAAATGACTACACTGTACAATGTTTAACTTAAAAGCAGTCCGTTATATGTTCAAACATCTGCTTCTTGTTTTAAAGAAGCTTTTCTTGTTGCTATGTAACAGGTTTCATTTAAGTCCTTTTCATATTTGCGAAAACAATCAAATGATCCTTCTCCAAAAATACACATTTAGCTCACAGAAACCTTCATGCCACAATATTACAGGGTTGCTAGACAAGAGAAGAGCAGTGTTATGAGTACACGGATGTTTCAAAAAGACAAGTTTAGGACAAATAAAAGAATTTTATTCAAGAATAATTATAAAATACAACATTAAAACTGATCTGGCCCATTTTATCCTAATTCTGCCAAATGTGAGGATACTGCATCAAAATCCATGTTCATGGAAGGAATGAATGAATGAATGAGAGTCTGTGTGTATACAGTTTGGGTAATTACAAATATACAGTAAGAAAGCACACATTAGCTGCAGTCTAAAAGAATTTATTTTTCTTCCCTGTAAGGGAGGCAAACAAAAGGGGAAATTTATATGTGGTCTAGGTACACCTGTATTTCTACACTTATACCTCTGCTTATTTGACATAGAAGCACTGATTCCTACCTATTTTTGACTTAAAATTGAAACCTTTTTCCTATTAAATACTTGGCTTTTTATTATGAATGTGATACCTGCCATTCACCACAATTCATCCATCTAGTCTAAACTATTTTTTGAAAGGAGTTCAGATATCAGTGAATAGTCAGTGTCACCTGTAGCAAGTTGCCTTACCTATCTGAGATAAGACATGAGTCTTAGTTACATAGCTTGTTCTGCTGGAGGCTGTGTCAGGATGAGTGATTTGGAATAGCAGCTATGCCTAAGCAAGGTGAATCCCACTGTGTAAATGTGCTGTTCTAGTGTTGCTTTTTAGGTTAACGTGATGTGCATCTTTTTTGTTTGGGATTTTTTAATTTATGATATACAATTTCCATGTGAAATACAATGAAGCTATTTTGTGTCCATATACTAGCTGTAATATTCTTTTCATTGTGTCCCTATATTGATTCTAGATACTGATGGAACGCAGCTTTTATATGTGGAGTTGTGATCAAATGCTTTGAGGACAGCATCTGAGCCATAAGTTCTTTGAAAGTTTAGCTTTTTCAATACTGATGTGCATATAAATATTTTCTCTGCGTAGATTTTAACAAAAGAGCTTTCCTTAGCCATTATGATTTCTTATTTCAGAAGTATTAGTGTAGAACATGCATATTTTGTTTGATTTGTATTTGCTGTTTTTAAAATGCAGTAATATGTCAAAGTGTTTTTTGTCTTCCATGCCTTCAGGCAAGCAACATGGTAAGTGATCAAATTTACTGAGTTACAAGAAAACTTCTGAAGTTTTTCTGATACGATACAACACACTTTAAATTGTAAGTATATGTTTCTAGAGTTTAAACTTTTGGCTTCTGAATTGTCTTTCTTTTAATAGATCTTGTTGATCTTCCTGCAAAAAATGGATTTGCTTCTAACCAAAACTCCACCGGATGAAATAAAGAACAGTGTCCTACCAATGGTTTATAGAGCCTTGGAAGCACCTTCAATTCAGATCCAGGTACTGTAGTTGCAGCCTTTATTTAAAAGTTTTCTTTTCTTTTTTTCATTAAGCTTTTTGCCAGCTTTTTGTATACCACTGTATTTGTTTACTTGAAAAAACATAAGGCTGTGTAATACCTCTGAATGTTGAGAGAGATTAATGTTTTATTGAAGGAGTTTTGTTTTAGTAAAATAAAATTCAGTTTATTTGAACATGATATTTCCTTAAATATCTCCATAAAAGGAAAGCTCAAAAAGATACTTTAAACTAATTCTGATCTTGAATAATATTAGTACAAATTTTATAATAAACACATGTTTCCTTTTAAACTTATGCAGTTGGTTTTTGTTTTTTTTTTTTTTGTTTTTTTTTTTTTTAATAGGCTCTATGCCTAAACATAATTCCCACATTTGCCAATTTAATAGATTACCCATCCATGAAAAATTCCTTAATTCCAAGAATTAAAAATGCATGTTTGCAAACTTCTTCTCTTGCTGTAAGTATCACCAAAATTTTTATCTCTTTCTCAGTCCTCGGAAAATGTTGTTACCTTTATTTACTTTGGCTTTTCTGTTGTTGTGTCTTTAAAGAAAAGTCCATCAATGTGCCCTGATTTCTTTTTCAGCTTCTTTTTTATTTTTTACAAATGCAAAAGCACCACTTAGTTTTTTTTTACTCCAACAATTTTTAAATTTGTTAACAACTTACTGTTGTCAGCAATACTGTAAAAATTGTTAAAGTTCATTCCAGAATAATATATGTAAATGGTGTTTATCCTGCAGAAGAGCCAGGGGTTTGTGAGAAGTGTGTATCTATATATATTTTTCCTTTCATGACACAAAAGGGTGGGTTTTTTTAATTGTCTTGAATTTTCAGATATGGAGGTTGTAGTTTCAGCAGTATCTGTTTTCATCTGAGCTTTGTATAGGTTTGGTTTTTTTTTTCCCCCCCCTCAGGCAAAAATATAGTAAAGGGTTTGTTAAATTCTTGTCATACTTCACAGGTCCGGGTAAACTCACTAGTGTGCTTAGGAAAGATTTTGGAGTACTTGGATAAATGGTTTGTGCTTGATGATATTTTACCTTTTCTACAACAAATTCCATCCAAGGAACCTGCAGTGCTAATGGGAATTTTAGGTAATTAATACTTTCAACTTTCTCCTCTTTTGTGCTTAAACAATTTTTTGTGCTATAAACTATTGCCTACAAATCTACTGCTCTTCACTGCAGGTTTTGTTAGGTTAATTTTGTAGGACTTCTAAGCACACAATGCTGCCTTTGCCCTGCAATGGAGCATAGACTGGGTGAGGTTTCACAAAACAGCTAACGAAACCTAATGGCTTGTTACTCCTGAAAGGGGAGGCCCCCCTCCCAGCTGTGCTTCTCTAGTGCCACTCAGGTGCTTGCCTACCTCAGGATGTGTGATTTTAACAACTTGAATGGGCTCAAGGAGACCAGATCACCAGAGCCACTGCCCAGAAAGAGGTGTGACTGCGTGGCCAAGTCTGGAAGACAGTGACCATCTCTCTTACTGACAACAAAGTGAACCCTCGTTTGAAAACGATGGGCTGAAGTCAATGTTATACACTTGGTTTCTCCTTTTATTTCGGAATCATAATACATTCCATCTTGCATGTGATACCTTTTCTGGCCAGCTGACAGCTCTGTTCTAATACTAACCATAAAAAGTGAGGAAAGCTCCTTATTTTATGCTAGTATGTTCAGTGTTTGCCACCAGAGGTAGGCTGCTTAAGCAGAGGAATCCTCCTGTCAGAAACACTACAGAAGCGGTAGGCTTAACACTGGATCCCTCATGACTGTTAGTATTGTTTTTACAGTGAGCTTGGAACAGATAAAAACTATGCGTGGTTTCTGATTCTATGGGTAACACAGCCCCAAACTTCTAGGTAAGAGTGTTTGTAAAATGCGATCAGAGAGCAGTGCGATAGTTACTCCTAGGCATTTCAGTGTACCAGGAGAGAACACATCCTTCGTTAATGCAGATTAATTTCTCAGTGGCAAATTGTGAGTTTGTGGTAACTCAGTTGTTCGTGATCTGTTCAAATACACAAATTCTCCGGTAATGGACTGGAACAATACATTGACCAGTATCAGGTTTCATAGCTGCAAAGCAGTACTTTGGACCTCCTCTTGCTCTGAACTTTGGTGGTGGATTTACTTAGCTTTTACGATTCCCTTGGTCATGATTGTCCCTGCTTGCACATAGAGCCAGTGGACCTTCAGGTTATCAGTACATATTTGAGCGTGCTACTTGGGTTTGGTCACCTTGTTTACTAAACAATTTCTTGTGATTTTCATGTTGTCTGTCAGGTATTTACAAATGTACGTTTACTCATAAGAAGTTGGGAATTACCAAAGAACAACTTGCTGGAAGAGTATTGCCCCATCTCATTCCTCTTAGTATTGAGAACAATCTTAATCTCAATCAGGTAGGAACATAACCGTTTTGCATGCTTTTACCTCATCATTGGCAGCGAAAAAATTTAAACTGTTGTCAGAGAAAAATTACATTACTGTATGTCTGTCTGTTATGAAAACAAACAAATAAACAAAACCAAAAAGCCTTCCAGTATTTCTGTATTTGCACATTTAAAGCTTTTTATTTTTCAGTGGATTTAACTGATGTAGTGGAAAATGTCAAAATGAATACTGTCAACTTCCAAATATCCTGCAAAAGCAGTTAGCTACTGACATAATTACAGTTCAGATTAAAAGCTCAAGTACAATCTTCATGTTTCTTCCCTTTCTTCTGTTTGTGAATGTTGCAGATAACGTAGATACACAATCATGTTACTATGAAATATTAGGAAATGCAGTACCTAATAGGATTTTTTTTGAAAATGGTTCTGGTAATACTCATTTGTGTTTTTTTTTCTCTGCAGTAGCTGCACTTTTTTTTACTTTCTTTAGTGACATATTTTTCATTGTTTCGGTATACGCTCTGCTTATAGTTGGGTATGTAATGCAGGATCGTGAAGTGTGTTATAAATTATTTAGAAAATCTGCAGTTTATCTGACATTTTTATGGGTATTACCTGTTAAGTTACACATGTATGAATTCCATCACTGCAAAATTCAAACACCTTCTATATTTCTTTTCCAGTTCAATTCTTTTATTTGTGTTATAAAAGATATGCTTAACAGATTGGAGTCAGAGCATAAAACCAAACTTGAGCAACTTCATGTCATGCAAGAACAACAGAAGTAAGTGTTTGTTTATGTTTGTATTAGAGAAGGAACAAGTGAGCAGAGACAAATTTCAATTAATTTTTTAGCAAATGAGAGAAAACTCTAGCCATAGCCATAAAAAAATCTAAGTAATTTTTAGTTCAGTAGTTGAGAACTACCTCGAATAAGCACAGTTGTCAGAAGATTTATTAGTCCTAGAATGATAATATTGTGATATTAGTGGTTTTAGAGAGTAAAATGCTTTATTTTTATACAGTTCAGTCACATTATTTTACATCAATAATTTTTAATTCGCTACATGTAAAAGTTTATACTGAGCTCACCTAGTATAGTTTGTGTCTTGCTTCTATATGCAAACTTGCTTTTCTGCACTTGTTGAGAACATAAACCATGCTGAAGAAACATAATCATTGCAGCCTTTTAGAAGGCCGTGATATTTGAAGACATTTAGAACTATTTTGTGGAGTCTGATAGGAGGTGAGATTTCTGAGACAAATTAACTTGGGCTGCCCAGAGTTTGTGTCGCCCATTCAAAAGAAGGAACTGAGACCATGTGAAATGATCATTAGGAAACCTTGACAGTCTACACTATTAACATTTTCCCGTCCTACAGGCATTCTTTAAAAATGGCAGTGCTCTCATAATGCAATCTTTTTGTATTGTTTAAATGCAGAACAATAATCTGCATTGCTGAATTAGTGTTGTGGAAGTGACTGCAAAGTTACCTTTTGTAATATGTATACTCTGCACCATATAGGTCTTTGGATATAGCTAACCAAATGAGTGTGTCTGAAGAGGCAAGATCTAGTAGTACAAGTAATCAGGTAAGCAACAATATTGTATTGGGTTACTTACGTGTAGAAATTCGAGATTTAAAATTACTTAGTCAATATGTGTGTTTCCTTAAATTACAGCATTTCAAATAACCAAGTTTTGTTTCTTTGAACTTAAACAGATTGACAAGGTATTTAATACTAGTGGAACTGACCTTCTAAGTAGTGGATGTGATAGTAAAGAGAACGACATGTCATCAAAACAGAAAAAGGTGTGTTTTACTTTGCTTTGGTATTCTGTTACATCCATCTGTCTAATACAAGGCTGATACGGTTGAATAACAAGAGTCTGTGTAAATATTTACCATACTTAAAGCTCTGAAAGAAAAACGAACTGCTTTTGTATAGCACAGCACCTTACATTGTCATATGTGAAGGGCCACTGAAAAATGTTCAGTCATGCCCTTGAATTACTATGAAAGCCTTTCCTTGAAAACAGCTTTGTACAAGGTAGGCAGCAATTAGGATCATAAGTTGCTGGTCATTTTCTTTCTCCTTACTTGTAGATCTCAGTGAAACTGAAACCAGCAGTGGATTTAGATAGGAAAATCAAGAGAGGAAACTTTATGATAAAATTACAAACAGATGAAGACAAAATGTAGACTTCCATGTAGTAGCAGAGACTAGCATTTACTGTACAATTCGAAGTTAAGAAAAACAGTATGGGGATAAATACAGGAAGCGAAGAAGAAGCATGACATAACATTGAATATTAAACATAAGCATAAACTTGTAAAATTCTTTTCATGCTATTAATTGTATGAAGGCTTCTCGGAATCTATACACTTTACGATTTCCATTTCCAGTTATCCAAACTGTCTCACTGATTTTAGACTACGGGGGAATTATTTTATGATTTTATCCTTCATCATTAGCAAAAGAAGAGTCAAAATCCTGAAACACCTCATAAACAATCTTAAAATAAAATTTCCTTTCCAACTGCATGGTCAGTTGCAGTTCTGTATCACGTGCCAGTAGGTAGCCATATAAAAATCCAAAAGTGTGAAGAATGCTTTTTCTTATGCCTAACATTAAGAAGACAGAGCTAAAATGGTTTTGTTATGATACCTCTTTATTTCTCATTATGCTACTTTTAATATTGGATTTCTTTGCTCTAAGTACTTTTTAGCAATATGATAAATGTTGTAATAGATTCTGTGCTTACCCACTGTCTCTTTCTTATAAACAGTATCTATTGTTCTAGGAGATATTACTGAAACAACAGTGCTATTTATGAAATAAAAATATCAATCTAAGAATAACTATTAGGTGCAACTTAGTGTCAGTACTTTCCCTTTTAAAGGCATCACTTACACTTGAAGAGAAGCAAAAGTTAGCTAAAGAACAAGAACAGGCACAGAAACTGAAGAGCCAGCAACCTCTTAAGCCACAAGCAACTGCAGTGACCCCTCCAGTGAAGCAGGTGAGAAAAAACAACGTGCTGCACTGTGTCCATTGGAGCTGTGATGCTTTTTCCTTTCAAGTGCTGTATGCATTTAGCATTTTTTTTTTCTCCTGTGAGTCACCTTTGTTTTCACTGGTAGTACAATGGCACAGCTGAGAAAAACTAAAATAAATTTTAATCTGCCTTCCATTTTAATCATTAGCAATATTTCCCGCTTTTTAAATGGCAAGAGTTTCCAAAGGAATAATTATTACTGGGAGGTTGTTCTAGATAATGGAAAAGCACATATTAAAGAAAGTTTTGCTCTGAGGAGTTTATTAACTAATACATAAAGGGCTTGGAGATAGGAACCAGGCATGCAAGTAAATGTCACAGTAGTCCTTCATATATAGTCTTAGTTGTCAAATTAAAACTACATAACAATTAGTTCTAAGTAGCAAAGAACAAAAATAACTTAATTGCTCTTGTGTATAATTACATTTCATGCCCAATTCCGTGCAGCATATTCAAAATTCTGAAAAATGAATGCTATTTCTGCAGGAGCAATGTTAGACTGTTGCTAGGGTGTGTTTGTACAGGAAAAGCATTTAACGGCATTTTATGTGTTTTGCAGACAAAAGACTTGACAGATACCTTGATAGACAATATGTCGTCATTGACTTGCCATTCTGTCAACAAAGTTAACGTTGCATCTTCAAACAGCTTCTCTTCTGTCCCTCCTATGGGTGTTGGAATGGGTTTTTCATCACCTGTTGACAACACAAAGAGGAACGTGACAAACGGACTAAATACTAATATGGGGTTTCAGACTGCTGGATTCAGTATGGGAGCTGGTCCCACCACTCAGAATTTCTTCAGTGGTCCAAGCGCAGCAGGAACAACCAAGATGAACATTGTTCCAACTGCCAGTATGCCAAATTACAGTCCTATGAATGCTGCGTCTGCAATCTCTCCACTGACACAACAAAACAGACCCCCAGATATGTCAGCTTTAGATAATCTTTTTGGTCCTCAAAAACCCAAAGTTAGTATGAAACAGTTGGCTCAACAGAAATCAAGCCAGTGGGTTAATCAGTTTGTACCCCCACAAGGGTCCCCAAGCGCGAGCAGTTCAGTCCTGGGACCTCAGATGAACATGATAGGACAGCCTGGCTTCGGTATACAGGGTAATCCTTTCTTTGCTCCTCAGAACTTTGCACAACCAGCAAACACAATGGCAAACAGCAGCTCGGCTAGTAATGACTTAAAAGATCTCTTTGGGTAAAATGTCTTCTTCTTTCAAAGATGATGAAACTCAGATCATGGGTAAGCTGATTAACGTCTGGTTTTCGATTAGTAAAAGCATGACTTGGAAACTTTCAGCCCAGCAAAGACTTTTGCACTGGACAAAAGACTGATTTTGCATTCACCTGGTACTGCAGTGGAATTGCTAAGTGCAAAGTCACCTTACGTGCTAAAGACTTCCTGTCTCTTCACCAAACATCAGAGCACCGAAGGTAGGATGCATAGACTCAATCGAAACAGAAGCAGCCAAGTATTCCAGAATTATCCAGAAATGTACTCGGTCAACTCCTATGAAATTTCCTGCAGAATCTTGTTTCTTAAATTCACCAAAAATGCGTAGGGGGTAATAGCACTAAGATAAGGTAATTAAAAATCAATGTGGTAGTAAACTACAAGGAGGATTCAGGAGACATAAGAAGTGGTTTTAAAATGTTGTGCAAGTCTGGGACAGAGTAAGAATTCTGCTCCAATGGTCATGCTGGTTTACAGTCTGTTTATCATCCCAGATCCTTGTTACCAGCCCCATAGCAAGAGCAACATAGTATTTAAGCAGGATTTTTGAATACACGTGGTGACGATCACATTTATTATATAGAATCGTATTCCAGTGTTTTGGCTAATTCGATACTGCTTCTGACTGGTGTGGAAACAAGCGTATAAGTAGTTATAGAACCTCCTAAAAAGAATGTTCTCTGTAAAATTCAGAAGTTTACTGCCCCAACTGTGTAACTACACAGTTTTGTTTAACTAAACACGCACTGTTTAGTTACACTGAAACATCTTGAATTACTTCGTAGATTTGGCTCTGTCGGGAAGATGAAGAAGGATTGACTCATACCAGTTGCACATGATTGTGCGAAAAGCAGACTGCCATAAATTGCCTTGACTAGAATAAACTGTTTCATTTTAATTTTAACTCGAGTCCCAGTGACGAAGGAGTGAATGTGAAAGGAGTTCTCAAATACAGATTTGTAAGGTCTAGAATATGTAGTAAATACACAGGTATTTCAGATCCTTCTTATTGTATTGCTCCAAATTTAATAAAGCTCTCCAGAAAACCAAACAGTAGTTTCTTGTACTTTCCAGAAGTTGTATGTTCAGCTTGCCCATGATAGAACCTCTGCTCTGTCAGATACTACTGTTGGGTTTTAACTTTTTCTTTCCTAGGAATTTCAGGAGCTTTCTTACATAATATTTTGAAGACTATAGCTGGCTATTTTGAGAAGGCAGGAACTAGTTACCTTTTTTATGGGAAGCCTACATGCTTTATTTTTCAAAGCCTTTCACTGAAGAAATTGTTCTTTCTTTTGCTGCTTAAGAAACCAAAGGGCCTTATGCTGTAAATGTGACTTGTATTTTGTTATATTTCCACAGTTCTGAGCGGTAATAGCATTAAGCATATTTCTTAAAGAATTGTTTATGTATGATAGCTGCTGCCTTAGTCCTTTTATTTTAAAATACCTGGGACCAGTGAAATTGTGGTTTAGAAAACAATACCTAATACATTGTGATGCTTATGTGCTGTTAATATTCATGATAAACATTGTAGGTTATGTTAAGATATCTGTGTAAACTGAAGTACAATACTAGAACTGTTAAACCATTTAAATTCATTTACAGTTACTAGTACTTTATACTCTCAATCACACTAATGTCTTCTTTTATGTCAACTTTTGAAAGCTACGCTTAGTTAGGGTAACTTAAGGCAAGACTTTGAAGAATTACTTGAATCTGTATTCCTCTAAATTATTTGGAAAATAAGTTTATATTTAAAATAACATCTCTTAGGACTCTACAGTGTATTAAATTAATGCATCTGTGGTAAAGGCAGTCTTAAAAGTCAGTGTCCTGATTGGCAGTTTCAGTCACTGATCCCCCTGTACTGGGGGTTTTCAGAACTGGATTTTAATTTGACCTATTGGAGGGAAAACTAACTGGAGGAAAAAAAAAAAAAAGGATCTGCTTTTATATACTAGACCTCCTAAACTGTGGCATTTGAAGTATGTACTTTTGACATGGGCTGTCTGAGAATACAATCTATTTTGTAAGAACAAAGTAAAAAAAAATCCTACAAGTTTGAGTGAAGAGAGGCTCTTCTGTGCAGTGGTAATGAGATGGAATAAGATCTTTATCTGGCTCAAGTAATATGATTTTTTTTTTCTACTTGTGAACATCATTTTGATTTCTCATTTGCTGTAGATTTCAGAATGACCAAAGTAGAAGAATAACAACAAAGAAAACCGAAAAGGGTGCTGATGAAAATGGCAACAATTTTCTCCAGTTATTGAAAACTAAAAAACTAAACATAACTTCAGTTAAAATGAGAGGGTCAAATCCCTCTTCCCTGTAGATGCTTCCTGTTTAGTGTGTCAGGAAGCGGGGTGCCTGTGAAGTTCTCTAATTACTTCTTAACTTAAAGGAAGGAGGAGTTGCAAGAAGTAAGTCACCAAGGCCATGTGCCACTTGGCTCCTGCTACATTAGTTTTTCTTTAGGAAGCCTTGTCCAGTTGATCTTTTCCACTTACAAGTCATCGTTCTGAAGCACTGCAAGAGGCTGGAAGACTCATGTCGTGGCCAGAGTAAACACCCTTGTTTGAGTGCAACAGTTGGCCTTCCCACCCAAGTTGTTGTTTGGGAAAGAGGAGGAGGAAGGGAGAGTGTTACAGAATGTGGGCATTCCAGGAGCCTTGTGTTTCTGGACTTGGCAAGCAGTCTTGCATCTAGCTTGGCCTGAAGCAGAGGCAGGTCTAGTCCTAATGCAAAACAAAAGGAAGAACAGGTTTGAAATTGGTGTCTGCTTAGAAACTGCAAATTCTGTTACTGAAAAAGTAACCTGGTATAAAGTAAGTTATTACAGTGCCTTGAACTGTACTGTAAATTACACAAAATTTCTGCCCTTTGTATTCAACATAAAGGAAAAAATGTGGAAGCTTGGCAGGTTATATCATCACCTTAGAGCCTCCACCCTGTGCAGCCACTGCCAGCAGGAGCAGGGTCTGGGCTGAACTGCCTAGCCCACCTGGGTTGCTTCCCATTCATTTGTAAAGGGAAGGTAAAGAGGAGAAGGGAGTACGTTGCTATTCTAAGTTGATTTTTCTCTGTTGGGTTTACTACAGAAGGAGAGATGAGGAACAGTGGAAATAGCAGCACATCTTAATGACAAGCAGCATTTGCCCTTTGGTTGCTCTGGTGTATGCTAAATGAATGCTTTTGCACCAAGACAGCAGTCCTTTCTGTATTGGAACTGAGGGTTCTGTTTGGTTTTAAGTATGGAAGTCTCTGGACCATTCTCTGAAAACTCAATCTTAGAAAACAAATTAATCCTGCTAGAAGGAAAGTTTATATTAAAGAGGCTTGAAAAAGCACCTCTGCTGGGGCTGATGGATAGGAGCCTTGAAACCACTGAGTGACGGACTAGCTTAGGAGGTCTGCCTCTCCAGGAGGGAGAAATGGGGAGTGAAATGACCCAAGTGTCATTTCAGAGATGGAGAAGGGACCAGAACTTCTGTTCCTTTTCGTCAAGTAGGTGTGGTGAATAAGGCACAGAACCGCCCGTGGAACCTGTGTATGCAGGGGCAGCAGTACCAGAGGACTCTTTTGAAAGGCAAAGGAGTCCACCCGTTATGTGGGAGATGGGGAGAGAAATTTTACTGGAGACGTGTGTAGAACACCCTTGTTTGTTTTAATGAAGTTACTCTCAGTGGTGACTAGAATTAGAAATGTTTTGGGTCCGCGCAGTTGCTGAGTGCCCCAAGTGAAAGGCTGAATTTTTGGGTGAATAAGTGCACAACATTTCCAGCCTTATTATTTAAAACTTTCCCTTTCTGTTAAGTTTTGTCTTTTTAGCAACACCTGTTTCACATTTATGTGGGACTTTAACAAACACCCCAATGGCCTCTGAAAGTAAGAAAAATGTGTGTTAAGTTTGCTATTATAGCCTCTGTATAATGTTATCTGTGTCTGTAGATAGGCAAGTAAACGTGTATATAGATTACAGGATTTTAGATTTTTCGGTTTAGTTGCACCAGAAGAGCAAATATGAAATGAGAAGTTAGATTTGAATCAAATTCCACAAGGCTTCCATACAGGCTAATAATTATATGATCCTTTTGTTGTCTATTATAAATTTACATGCTTAGTCTGCCTACATCTTGAGCAGAAAAGGAAAGTTTTTAAAACATAAGTTTATGAAGAGTGAGTCTCTAATTGCGGGTGAAGTTTTTGGACTTTAGAGAGTGACCTTTGTTTATTGAGTAGGAGTTTTTAATGGGGATGGGTGGGACATCTCTGATTTGTGCCATTTCCAATGAAAGAAATATAGGGAGGGGGAGTACAGAAAAAAATACCTTGTTGTATATGTGGCTCTTTTTTGTTCTTTGTTAAGAGATATGCTGCATTTTATATACTAATTGTGAACTTTGAAATAGCTGTGAGGAAACCTGTCTGGAGAATTTCAGATGAGTTAGCTGATTTTCAGGTGAGGTCCTGCCTTGTACCTAACTTTCCATTAGGTTTTGACTGCTTTCCAAGAAAATGACACAAGGCAGTAAAACCTTGGATTCATACACCAAATCCTCTTGCCTTCCAGGCCTCACACTTGTATCAACAGAACAAATAAGCCCTTGCAGTTGTCTTGTCTTTAAGTTCTCTAAAATAGTTGTAACTGCTGTACAGATTTCTGAGATGAAGTTGTAAATCAAAATGTGTTATAGTGAACTCAGGCCTTGTGCAAAATATTTAATACTTGTTTATTTGTCGAATCTTAGTCTCTGTACTAGTGGCAGTTTTATGTTTTGATTGTAAAACATTAAAATTCTCTGGAGATTTCTAAAGTGATGTTACTGTAGTGTCAGCTGTGATTCATAATTAGAACTGTCATAGCATGGCATTAGTGTATATCCGGTTTATTGGACAGCTCTTCAAAACCAAATTTATTCTTGTATCAACTTTCAGATCAGTTACTTAAAAACCTGTGTAAAAGGTACAGTGGCAGTTTCGAGAAATTCATATCACTTTGTACTGTGAATGAGGTTGCCTATGGAAATAAATGAACTTTTCATATTTTTATGTTGGAAGATATTTTTATTTAAAATGTCCATAAAATTAATAGTAAGTTATGTAGAAAACTTTATCACTGTATATTTTGTTTGAAATACACTATATCCCACGTAATTTTGAGTTCATTTCTTAGGGTGTTGCTGACCAGACATCTGTACAACGTGATCATATGTTGCCTTTGTGCAGAGAATAAAAGACCTGGGAAAAACTGACACACTAGATGTCT